AAAAAAATGAATCCGCCTCAACAATATAGAACTTATCTAAAGGCAAACCGTCAAGGCTAATGAAAATTAAGTAAAACCTTCCTAAAAAGTGTTTTAAACAACAGCATAAATCCATAGGATGCAAGATCATCCTAAATTGAACCAACCTGTACGCCGAACATTGCATTTTATTGCCCATTCAATCGGCAAACAGTCCACTGTTTATCTTATCGGTAAACAGATTAAACGACGGTTTAGAAATAATTAAAAACGAGTTAAGTTCGCGCATGATATACAGGGGGAAGACTCGACATCAATGTCCATTTGCAAGTCGGAGATCTTGTTCAGTCCCGTAAAAGAAACGCCAATGCCTGGCGCTCATTTTTCCGTTGATTCGCTCGATTGTGACCTGCACGACATGATGCTGACCTGCCAAGCTAACAAAGACAATTATACCATTGCCTTTGAAGGATCGACCACCATGTACAGTGAAGACAGTGACTATCACGATACTGGTAATGCTAAATAACCAAACTGAATGGCCGGTTATTAACTAAGGAAAACCTGAACAATTTCAGATAAGAGCTCTTCGAACTCAAATCCTCCCAACCAGTCAGGTAGTTTAAATCTACAACCAAGCAAGAACTTAGGCAAAGCAATGTTGGAAGACTCAATGACTCAATCGGACTCCAGTAGCTTTACCACATGGAGTAAGCTGAAGGTAATGAGACGAGAAACTCAAATTTATCCAACCTTTATGCACAAAACTTGAATGCACACAAACAGATTAGGCTTAATAATATTTGTCAAGGCGTTAACGAGACTAATTGGGCTTTATCTGTAGAAACGGAACAGCGATGACCAGTTGCGACGGCCCTCCGGTAACAATAACAACTCTGAAGACGAAAGTAGTCATTTAGCGTTGAGCGACACGGCTTTGAAGAGCCAAAGTATGCCCAATTTACACAAGCAGAGATTGAGAAGATGCATTGTTGATGACAATAGCCTTAGTAATAGTTCGGTAAGTTGCAAAAATCCACAGCGGTTTTTTTCATTGTCAATTCTTAAGTCCGATCAAAGCCCTGAAGGTCTATTTTTTCAGTCTCCAACCACAATTAAACAGCGTCCAGTCAAACTGTTCAACATCCATCACCAGCACATTCAGAGCAGCAGTGGAAGCGGCTCTCTGTCGGAAATGGCCACCTCTGTAGATGCAAACGGTGACGGTGCAAACAACAAACATCCCAACTTCAACTTGGTGAAGCTTTTCATGAAGCAGAAGAGCATAAGCCAAGAAGGTACCAATTCACACCAAACCACGCTATTTTCCGGCTAACCATTGTCCTAAATAGGGATGTCTTTGACAATGGATCAGCTATCTTCAACGGAAAACTGGCCAGCTTCGCAGAGCGGCGAAAGCTCCTCATCGGACAACAAAAACGCGGATAACTTGAAAAACTTGGAACTGAGCGCTGTTAACAGCAGCGTTCGAACTTATGACCTGATAGCAGAGGAACCGGAAGAGATTTCCAAGAGCGAGTCCATAGAGCAGCTGTCGGAAAGCGTGAGTAAAAGTGAATCAGTTTGCGATAGCTTTGACAAAGACGCGGAACAGAAGAATGCAAACAACAACGATAGTTTGAAGGTAAAATATTTCTCTGACCGCAATTCCTCCAGTTTACACGGCTGTCAATTGAATTTTCCAGAACTACCAAAGACCCAAAGCAATCAGCCCGAAAAATGTCCTCAAAGTCAAAAACGAGCTCTTCGATAGAAGCATCCAGACATCGCAATTCTCGGAAATCCTCAACCTGAAAAATGCCACCAATTCCCCTGCAGTTGGCGGAGGACAGCCAGTCAAGCTGATCGAAGCCTCATTCTTGAACAAGTTGAAAAAAGAGGGCGAAGTGCAGAAGCCGGTCTATGTGCTGTACCCGAACTACGTCCTTCCCAACCTGGACTTTTTGAACGAGAAAAACGACGTGGAGAATGTCCATTTCGTCCCTCAAAGCTTCCCCAAGCAGCCCACGCTCAACCGCAAACGACCATTCAGTTTTAACGACATTGAAGGTCTCAAGCGCAAAGGGTTCGGCCACGTCAAGGACTGGGATTCGCTGAATATTCTCCTGCCCCAAGAATACCGCAAGGTTCTAGCTGACGTTCCCGAGATCTCCAGCCACATCAAGCCGGGAATGCGGGACAGACCTTCGTTCTTAAGGTGGGTTTTCATAGGAATTTATATATATCTATTTTATTTATGAGTTTCTTCCATGTCGTCTTGTGCCTTCCTCCTTCTCTCTGTTGGTGTCCATCTGAGGTATGTTTTGGTAATTCTTGATCTCTTGTGTCATCCATCCGCTCAACATGTTCGTACCTTATCAACTGTCTGTGTTCATGATAAATCTGATTTCCTCATTAGTCATCTTCTCCAACCTTGATTTTCCTGCTGCTCTACGCCAGTCCATCTCCACAGAACGTAACCGCCGCTCTAGTTGGGCAGTAAGTTGCCAAGCTTCGCAGTCATACAGCACTATATATATATACAGGGTTGCTCATTAGTGCGTCAAAGTGCGATATCTCAGTAAATATGAAGTTTACAAGCAAATTCGTCCAACGAAAGTTTTTCACGTTTAAAAGGTCCACATTCTAAAATTACTTTCCAATATACAGGGTGCATCATAAACGTGTGGTAGTTACCAACTCTGGTTTTTTAAATGAAACCCCCCCTTTTTTTTGTTATTTTCAGATTGGCCGTTCAATTTTAATTTATGTTTGTTTCAACCGTTTTACCTGAAAAATTTACGATTTCCGAGTTATTCGTAAAAATGTGAAAGTTTTGACAGCTACTGGGTTCCACAGAAATCGATGCTGTACACTACCCGCTGCGAATTTCGGAAAACAGTTTTCAGCGATTCTAACAGAACATCATGATCTACGCGTAGATATGTTTTAAATTATAAGGAAATACTTCTAAACCGCGCAATTAGC